ACATCTCATAATGTCTGCCAGCATAATGAAGTGGAGACTGACCAGCTTTATCCTTAGGAGTTGGATTATTCCTAACACGAGGTACAAGATACTCGTATATCTCTTTATCTCCTTGCTTTGCTATTATGTGTAGACATGTCACTCCATCTTTATCCTGTGACTCTGGATCAAGACCGTGTGATTCCACTAGGAATTGGATTAGATCCTTATTACCACTCTCAGCAGCTCCATGAAGCAATCCTTCCTCATTATTATTCACACTATAAACATTAGCTGGATACACCTCAGAGAGATACAGTGTCATCCTATAGTGACCATTTTGACAAGCTAAATGAAGACAAGAACAACCATCACCATCCACTGCTCCAAGGAGCTTCTCATGATTTGTAGTACCAGTAGTGACTGATAAGAGAGACACGACTGTATTAACGTGACCATTAGCTGCTGCTAAGTGTAATGGAGTCTGTCTCTTCTCATTAATTGAATAAATATCAATATTAAGAGACTTGTAAGCTTCTGCTATAGTAGACACTATATCAGGATGACCCTGGCTGCATGCTGCATGAAGTGCTGTGTTACCATTGCTATCTGCCATGTCTACTAATTCTACACGTGGTTTATTGTAGCTTGGACTATCCAATAGATATTCTACTATTTCCAACTGACCCTCTTGAGCTGACAGATAAAGTGGAGTACGACCAGAAGCATCAGTGATATCAGGATTACAGTAACGACCATCAACGAAAAACCTCAATATATCCAAAGACCCTCCCTTTGCCGATATGTGTATTACGTTAAACCCTTTATCGTCCAGTATAGAAATGTTGCAGTTTTTACTGTTGAGGTAACGAATGATGGGAAGGTTCTTAGAGAAAGCTGCAATAAGTAGTGGAGTACGTCCAAAAGAGTCGGTCATATCAAGAGATAATGGTGAATGGTCTATAATGTACTTGACTATACTCAATGATCCTTCTTCACAGGTTACATGAACTGGAGCCATTCCATTGTAATCTTTAATAGTGAGATCCAACTGATGCTCCTCCATCTAGATGTTTGAGTATAGGAAGAGAACGACTTTTACATGATAAATG